GACTGGGTGCCCGCCGAGAGCACATCGAACTCGGTGGCGTAGGTATGACTCGCTTTCCGACCGTTTGTATGAAGATAGAATACTGTATGATATTATTACCGTGACCTTGCACTACTGAGAAGAACCGGCAAGAAACTCAGAGTGGGCTGTTTTTTACTCCCTGTATTATTGTATACAGAGTCGTCAAGTTGAAAAATTACTTCAGAGATAATTCTGAAGTCACCTTCCATTACACAATTAGAATATAGATGTATACAATATTTTTCATGGTAAGCTTTACATTTTTAGTAGCGCGGAAGCGGCTTTGATTGTTTGTTTGGTTGAAAGTTGAAAATCTTTTTGTGTTGGATGGTGGCATGTACCTATCATGGAAGGCTATAGGCTACATAACATAACGCCACGACAAACAGAAGTCGATCACCAATCAATCAATAATGTTGCAAAAACAGCAAAACTAAGACATATTCCGTAGCGAACTGAATTGTTCTTCTTTAAAAAATTCTATAAAAAAGTACGAGCGATCTTTTAAGGGTGACCTACTATAACCTTATTCCTCAAATTGATGCGACTGAAACCCCAGGACACCTTTCATCATCATCATCATCAGCCTATTAACGTCCCTACTGCTGGGGCACAGGCCTTCCCTATGGATGGAATAGGGAGATTGGGCCATGACCCACCACGCGGGCCCAGTGCGGATTGGTGGGTGCTAACGACTGCAGATGCAGCCGGGACCAACGGCTTAACGTGCCTTCCGAAGCACGGAGGAGCTCGAGATAGTAATTTTTGGTCACCCATCCAATGACCGACCACTGCGAAAGTTGCTTAACTTCAACGATCGCAGCCGAACGCGCTAATCACTTGCGCCGTCGAGCTCCTCACCAAGGGCACCTTTATATAATTTAAACATGTTTCTTGATTATTTTGGAAGCAAAGCTATATGCTGCCTGAATGAGAACTTACCACCAATCTCTATTCCCAAATACTTTATAGTGTCAGAAAAAATAAGAGCATTGTCATGTAGGTATTGCATTGGTGAATTCTTATGTTTAAAGACGCTGGTTTTGTGAAAGGATAGTGTTGAAATGTTTCCCAACACTTAAATTTGTGTACAGCACTAGTTCACCAGCAAAGCTTCTCGCTAACTATATCTCTCTCACTCTATTACCGGCCACCGTAGCATACGGACGTGTTTCCGAAATTTATCTATTTTTTAACAACTTACGCGTATGTCATAACCAGATGAGATATAAGTTTAAAAGTGTTTCTGTGCTTACAGTGTATGTATATATATTTTTTTATAGACAGTTCCGACAAATGTTTCCACCCCACCTTATGTTAAGTGGAGGTGAAGTCCAGACGCGAAGATAGCTGATACAGCAGTTCTACCTGCCACACCAGCCATCCTCACCCTGCCGGCCTGCATGTTGCTTCTTCACGCCTCTTTTAAAGGATCCCAGTTTGTAAGAGGGAGGGAACACGTGAGCGGGCAGAGCATTCCATTTACGGATATTACGACAAAGAAATGAGTCACCAAATTTCTTTGTACGCGTTGGAATTGTAGCCACACTTAGACGGTGACAACGTAAGCCAGCGCGCGTGGTCCTCTGAAGGAAAGGGGAAGGTGGAATAAGAGAGAATAACTCCTCAGAACACTCGCCGTGGTACAGACGATAGAACGCGCTTAGTGACGCCACGTCATCGCGTAATTGAAGAGGCTCGAGGTGTTAAGTCACCTCCTCATCGCCTATGATGCGTATTGCGCGCCGCTGTAACCTATCCAAAGCATCGAGCATATGTGTCTGTATGTGCCAAAGTAAATATATCTTGACAGACCGAACCAGTGTGTGTTATCAACTATACCTATCTACAGTCCGTTAGTACGATAAGCCCGAACAGATACTTATTTTTTTAAATGTAAATAGAATAGAACAAATTTATTATTATACACACAGGAACAATGAACCTTAAACTAAAAACCTTAAAAAATATAATATAATAACTAAAATATATTACTAAAAGGAATCCCTTTAGGCAAAGTTCCGAAGATACTAGCTAGTGGCGTGAGACAAAATGTAAACAAAGAATCTGAGGTTCTAAAACTTTTATAATGTCAAAAACTACCTAATAATCAATGATTAGGTAAAATTTATGTATCCTATAATTTATTAACAACTTTAAACTTAACAGTATAAATATAACAACAACCTCAACAAATAATACAAGGAAATAACAAGAATTTAACAAATAAGATATGTACAATATGCACGCTCGCGACAATAGGTTGATTGGGAGAGTAAAGATGCCTGACGTAAACCAACCGATTACAAAACACAACACTTCAACGTAAAAAACTTATATGGGGCTGTCCATTAATCACGTGAGGCTCGAAAGGGGGGGGACAGGGTCCATAAAAAATCAGGAAATATCACAACGGGGGGAGGGGGGGGTTTAGTAATATATCACGTGTATTTCCGTGTCCGAGGATACTGTACATTCAATGATTTTCATGTATTAAAACAAAAAGTTTTTCGCATTTCTTTCATTATTTTTATGTCAGGCAAAAACAACCTGCAACCTTTATGTTGCAATTCGTCGTTATTAGTTAGTTATTATTGGGAGTCTTTAATTTTCTATAATAAAATTAGATGATACTTCTACCTGTATTTCATAAATATTAAAATAAATATAAGATTTATTGTAGGTAGTAAAAAATACTCGTGATATAGGGGCAGGGGGGTGGGGGGGTAGTCTTAAACATCACCACGTATCACCAAGGGGGAGGGAGGGGTTAAAAAATGACAAAAAAAATGGTTGCCTGTAAAGTCGGTTTTACGGGCGAAGATTTTACGTGACAACGTCTTTTTCTCGGTAGAATATTTATTGATATGAATATAATTAAATTGCACAATAGGAACAAGGAATTGAATGAAAATAAGAATTGCACAAATTTTAACTATAGAAATATATTTTGTTTACTAAAACATTGTACATGTAAACTTAAACTCATCGTAACGTTACCGAGCGTTACACTTTTTCATAAGTGACTCCCAGCCGCAACCTAATTTAAGACGTTGTCACGTCAAAACATCACGTGATTAATGGACGACCCCTATCATGTCTACTTTTAAAATTTGTTATATTATAATAAGTCTTAGGTTTGGGAATGATTGTGTTTTTAGGTCTTTTTCCATGTCAACTTAACTTGTTAAAATACTTTTATCAGCAAAATAAAAATATACAAATTTGTGATATGTATGTATGTGAAAAATGTGCAAAATATTTTATTTTTTTAATCATATGTATGTACCAGCTTCTAAAATTACTAACTTAAATTTTCGCTGCATAACCTATGTAAATAGACGACGAAGACGACCTCCGTGGCCGAGTGGTTTGTACGCCGGGTTTCATGGTGTCGCCGACTCGAGAGGTCTCGGGTTCGAATCCCGGTGGGGGCAGATGTTTGTGTGATGAATACGAGCATTTGTACTCCAGTCATGGATGTTTAATATCTACTTCTATATTAAATATACTTATATGTGTACAGTATATGTATTCTATCCGTTACCCTAGCATCCCATAACACAAGCCTTATAGTGCTTACTTTGGGGCTAGGCTAATTGGTGTGAGTGTTGGAAATATTTATTTATTATTATTATTATTTATAGTATTTAATTTTTTTCTTTTGTCAAACATGACCTAAAAAAGTATCCTTTTTATTGATTGTTTACATTTTGTCTCACGCCAATGTGAATAGACCATAGATGGCGTAATTTGAAAGAGGCCTACACCAGACTGGTTGAGAACGGTTAAAGAGAAGAGACCCGGCACCGTCTTCCAGCCCGTAATCCAATATAAATGTTGCTTCGGTCGCCCGAATTCGAGTAATGTCTTTCGTGCATTAGAATACGGACAAACGACCTTATGTTAGCAGCATAAGGTTCATAATAAATAATAAATATTTCCAACACTCACACCAATTAGCCTAGCCCCAAAGTAAGCACTGTAAGGCTTGTGTTATGGGCTGCTAGGGTAACGGATAGAATACATATACAGTACATATATAAGTATATTTATATAGAAATACATATTAAACATCCATGACTGGAGTACAAATGCTCGTATTCATCACACAAACATCTGCCCCCCACCGGGATTCGAACCCGGGACCTCTCGAGTCGGCGACACCATGAAACCCGGCGTACAAACCACTTGACCACCGAGGTCGCCAATGTTGCTTCGGTCGCCCGAATTCGAGTAATGTCTTTCGTGCATTCGAATACGGACAAACGACATTATGTTAACAGCATAAGGTTCATATTGAGGCGATTGTTATTTACCGTTTATTAATCATGGACATAGTTCTGTATTCTTTTTCTTCCCAATTTTTTCCGAACAGAGAAATGCCCAGGGGGCCATTCGCCTAACGGAAATGCTTTGGAAAACGCTAACGCTTTCGATTTTATTTTTGTTATTTCTGACCGGCGAAGGTTTTCAAATACCTCACGCTCATTTTTTTTTTAATATTGTTATTACCAATGCAAAAGAAAAAAAAAGAGCGCGAGGCATTTGAAAACCTCAGGCGGTTAGAAATAACATAGTAAAATCGTAAGCGTTAGCGTTTTCCATAGCATTTCTGTTAGGCGAATGGCCCACAGTTCGGATACAGTCTCGTATTTGTTAATTATTCAGGGAACCATGTGTTTCAGTTTGAAAGCTTTTCAAATATTGACGCGTCTTTTTAAGTTCATGGAATTTACCAAAATAATAAGAAAACCAAATATAATTCTTTGAATTTATTTAACAATGAATAACCACAAAATAAATAATATTATCGTTATAAGATTACAAGCGATGAGATTAAACCCAAAAGTATTTAATAACTGAATAACAGGCTCTCACATTATTTACAAAAAAACGTGTAACAAACTCGACATCACAAAAAAAAGGTTGCATCATTACAAAAACAGATATTCTTTACAAAAACATTTTGCTATCAAAATCAAACTCTTTTATAAACTTAACCATAGATATTATTTACATTGCCATCTAACAGCAATACACGGAACTACTAGCTACAAAGTGATTAATAACAACGCCATCTATCAGTTTTCCTTTGTACTACAACGGACTGCGCCATCTGTTATGCTTTTGCAGAACTAAACAGCGCCATCTGTCGGTCATTGCCTGCCAGTTTTTCTGTCTCGTAGTAAGCTTGCTATGAAGAATTCCCCGGCTCTGTACGAGGAACGTACTAGAGGTCCACTGGCTGTGTACAAGAAGCCCAATTCTGCCCCTTTGTCTTCCCATTGCTTGAATTTCGTGGGTGTTACGTATTCGAACACTTTTAGATGCTTTTTGGTCGGCTGCATGTATTGGCCGAGTGTTAAGCAGTCTACGCCTACGGCACGGAGATCTGAAATAAGTAAGAACAAATGAGTGGTATCTTATGATTTTATTTATTTTTTAAGCATTTAACTGCTAGATGTTTAAATCTAAAGAAAAGTTTACTAGAAAAAAATCCACGCGGTCCAGGCAGCGGACGGGACTCGAACCCGCATCCTTCGCTATCCGGGCGAATGCACTGACCATTATGCTACCACGGCCCTATTAGCCGCGTCGAAATTTTCCTAGCCTTAAGCTGCAAGGCAGCGCCATCTCTTCGCATTGTAGGTAACCCACAATGTCAAATGAATTATTAAAATAATCGTTTTTATCGTTTGCTGAACATTTTGGCAATTTGGACTTTACCAACTTTGATTGTATACCATTCTTAGATTAAAACAAAAAGGGTAGATACGGTACGCTCATACTAGCATCAAATAATATATGATCTGACTCAACTACATAAGCAACTCTCGCCACGCACACGTCTGTATATAAACATTAATCGAGCGAGCGAGACAGAACTATACGCTTTAACGCAGCGTATTGTTGTCCTTTTCTTGCTTACAAAATGGCGATTACGTAAGTAATATTCACGACAAACCGTGATTTTTGAGAAAAAAATGTTTTCACAGTATTACGAATGAAAAGCGTTGCCGGGGCATTTGAATTTGAACTATTTTTGTTCTTTATAAAAGCATCGAAGGCATTGTTTTATCTTCATAACACAGAATATACGCAATATTGTTATAATGAGTGTACATGCAGCGTGTTTGAATGTCAAATTGTGACTAAAGCGAATTATGGTCGTGGACCACAATTTAAGCGGATCACTTTTGAGCCGCGAATGCCGTATCTTCCCTTTTTGTTTTAATCTAAGAGTGGTATACAATCTAAGTTGTTAAAGTCCACATTTCCAAAATGTTCAGCAAACGATAAAAACGATTATTTTAATAATTACAGGTAACTATTCTAATGTTAAACATTATTTATATGCAGAATGCAATTTATTATGGAAATGCAAGTGTTCACCACGTTCAGTGCAATAGTTTTGAGTAAAACCTTAAGTATAAGATGGACTTTCCCAGTTTTGTTACCAAGTTTTGGACTTTACTAAGTTTACTAACTGAATGTTCAGGACTTTCCTATATTTGTTACCAACTCTCTGGACAGGGTTGGATTCATCAATCGGCGGCCATGACAGCTGTCAGTGAAATGGAGGCAATGGAGCCTTCCTATTGGTCGGAAAGCACTTTATGCAAGTTGAAACTCAACTCACTTGGACTTTGCTACGTTTGTTTGTAAAGTTAATTTTTCTAATTTTAAATAACAGTGGAGATTTCTAGAATTAGTATAAAATTATTCTACGGGATAAATATACATAGATACGGAAATAAATGTGTTATAATTTAAATCTCACTTTAAAAAAATTGTTAACTTGGTAAAGTCCACAATAACTTTGATTGTATACCCCTGAAATAAATAAACAATTTTTTTTGTGGGGAGCAGGCATTTAACATTTATGTAGAAAGTTTATATCAATTCAATCATACTTTATATCAATTCAAATTGTTCATTACAAACAACAAAATGGTCCATCAAATCGTTAGTAACAATATTTAACTTAAATGCTATGTTAGTACATGTTATAGAGTAAGAAAGATCACGGAGCTTCTGTGGGAGCCGAAACGCAAGTTTGGTATAAAAATTAAATGTAACTTTGCCAACCCATTCAAGAATTAATATTTATTATACAGGAAGTTCGAAAATTAAATCATGATTGCTTTATTTATATTTTTTACATGTTTACCTGCTAGATGTTTAAATCTAAACAAAATTATAGTACAAAATATCCACTCCGACGTGGTTTCAGGCGGGATTCGAACCCGCATCTTCCGCTAGCCGGTCGAGCAATCATTATTGACTTAAACAATTGCCACTGATCCGACCGTGCTTAACTATTAAACAAGTAGCCAAGTCATCATCACCATCTTCATCAGCCTATTAATGTCCCGACTGCTGGGGCACAGGCCTTCCCAATGGATGGAATAGGGAAATTGGGCCATGACCCACCTCGCGGGCCCAGTGCGGATTGGCGGGTGCTAACAACTGCAGATGCAGCCGGGACCAACGGATCAACGTGCCGTCCGAAACACGGAGGAACTCGAGATAGAAGATCTTTGGTCACCCATCCAATGACCGACCACTGCGAAAGTTGCTTAACTTCAACGATCACAGCCGCACGCACTAAAGCCAAGTAGCCAAGTGACCAAAGCTAATAAAGTTCAATCCAGTTTTCGAAACGCCTTTAAAAACATTAATTGTCAACTTCTATGAAAAATCTAATATCATATCCATAAATTTTATCTATGTTAAACTATCAACACGCCCGCTAAAACTGAAAATGTTCTTGTTATCCATGTGAATATTTTTTTATCCAGATTTATTTATCATAATTATTATTACTATTTACTATTATATTGTCATTGTCATGCTATAATCTTTCTAGTAATAATAAATAAATATATATTATTATTTTTATAAAAGATCCCTTTTATATTATTTACCAACAAGAACAAAAAGTGTACTTTGTAACAAAAGTAAATTTTAATTACACACCTTGTTTCAGCTCGTTACAGTACACATAGTTCGTTACATTGCACATATGCCAGTAATTATAATAATGCCATAAAATACTTTCTAATGTTGGTTTATTAGTGTAATATTAGCATAGGATAGAGTAGGATATCAATCAATCAATCAAAATCAATCATATCAATCAGTCAATCAAAAATCATTTATTCAGTCTAGGCTGTTACAAGCACTTGTGAAGGTCAAGAAGCTACGCCATCGGTTCGCAAAACTACGGCGGGAGACCTTGTACTGAGAAGAACCAGCGAGAAACTCAGCGAGGGCTGCTTTTTCTCCCTGTATCGTTATATACAGAGTCGTCGAGTTGAAAAATGACTTCAGAGATACCTCCGAAGTCACCTTCCATTACATAATTTAGAATATATATACATAGTATAATACAAAAGTATAGTGCAAAAGCAATCAAGAACAACGATACGCAGAAATCAGCCATCGCGGAACATTTGTTTGATTCTGGTCCTAACCACTGGACTGAGTTTCATAACCCACAGATTATCTCGACAGAATGCCACTACATACCAAGATTGGTCAGGGAAGCGATTGAAATAACAAAACATAAAAATTTCAATCGTGAGGACGGGTTTAAATTGTCGAGTGTCTGGAATCCTGTGGTTCGTATGTGTAAAAACCGGAAATAATCAAAAAAGTGTCGTGTCACGATCCGATACTTGTTTAAGTGTTGTGTGTCGAGAACAGTTTCGAGTGAATAGTGAGAATATGAACAGTGGTACGGGTATCGAACGCAATAAAAGACTTCGTCGGAGGGTAGACCGATATGTCTGCCAATAACTGCCTACCCGCAATTACTTCAGTTACTCCGTAACTATGGCGCTTGCAACAGTGCCGAATTTTTTTTAATTTTTTTATAAATCTCGGAAACTCGCTAAAAACAAGGTACATGGTAACAATCCCGTAAATAACTTATATTACTATAATGTTAGTGACCATGAAAGTTAAAAACAATATATAGTCCCAGTGAACCAAATGTTCACCAAAACCTGATTAAAAAAAATGTATTTAATTAATTGAGAACTTCGGAGATTTTGTGTGGTTTCGTTTGAAATTCGTGATTTCTCGAAAACCGGAAGTGCTACGTTACTCAAATCCGGTTTGTAGTCTTATCAGACTATTCTTAACTTATAACTTAAACATTCTCTTTATCTATCTCTTACGGTTTGGCCGCTGAAACAGCACCACAGACAGACGGACGGACGGACTTGTCTAATAGATAAGAGATAATACAGTCTGAATTATATACCTTTCATGGTCTGCTGCACTTGTTCATCTGTCTCGCCGAGCCCCAGCATGATAGAAGTCTTGGTCACCAACTCTGGATTGAACTCCTTCGCAGTCTCCAAAACTTTCAACGTTTGTCGATACCTGGGAACAAACAAATAATTAAATAGCCTTATTTACACTCATCATGTCCGAATATTGGAATTACGAATTTAAATAATTCCTATGACATGTGTTTGCAACTGTATATAAAGGACAATGTTAAAATTGGCCTAAGAACCAACACCAATTTGGCATTTATGATAATTCTTAGTATATTTTTTGCGATAATTATCAGTATTTAGATTGTAACGGACACTTCCAGTTAAGTAAGCTAAATTAACAAGTTAAAAAATAATCTGAGACATTAAATACCATTTTATGTGTATAATCTATGGCAGCGCTGCAAACAAGACACTCTTTCTTCCTAATGCCGGCACTTCACTTGGCTATTCGTATTTGCTATTTTAAAACATGACATCAGTCTGTTCTTTTCATTCCTTATTAAGCATGACAAGGACAAACTTTTGTGAAGTGAAGGGCCGGCATAAAACTTGTTACTCTGTGGTTGTGGTGCATGCAGTTTCTTAGTAATCTGTGGCATTCGTGCATTCCAAAGAGTAGTTTATTATACCGGAAAGACCGGAAAGTGCATTCTCGTTTCGGATTACCTGTTGTATATGTTTATTTGCGACTGTTTTTCCTTTAATTTAACTATTTCGGCTATCTAATATGCCATCGATGTTACCAAAGAGCACTGAGCAGAGCCCTTATTACCAAGTGCTAGTGAACCTGTGCCACAATATCCTGAGAGGATCATACTGCCAAATTATTCAAGAACACATGTGTTATACAAATAAATACAATAAACAATATGATACATTTATGGAAAAAATAGTCAATAAATAAGAAGAAAAACTACAATTTTTATTTTATTCATGATTCCTACCTAACCAAGTTTCTCCTAATAGTTAATTCTTTAAAATCGCACCGAATAAAATGAATTAGTTATAATATTAATTCACTTCATACTGAGTTTATTGAATATTAAACATAACCTCAAAAAAAAATAAGTTTTCCTAATATTTTAAGTTCTCAGAAGTGTCCGTCAATAATATTTGTTTATACAGTCATTTACTTACGATTTTGAACCTAGAAAATAATTTTTCATGATTGTTGGTTCTTAGGCTAACTATGTATGGACGCTGAACAATGTCCTTTAGGTAATTAAAATCAGTCGAGTCAACCTGTTATCGTTTTTTTTAAGAAATAAATATTAATAAAATTTCCAACACTATTAAAACGTAAAACGCTGTTGAAACCATAGATTAAAACAAAGGGTAGATACGACACTAGCCTCACAAAAGTGATCCGCATAAATTGTGGTCCACGACCCTAATCGCTTTAGTCACTACTTGACATGCAAACGACGTACATGTGAACGCCTAAAAGAAATATTGCTAATATTTTGTGTTTATATGATAAAACAATGCCTAAGTGTGTTTTTAAAAACTGCTCAATTGCTCAAGAACTAAAAATAAAGCCCACGGCATCACATTTCATTCGTAAGTACTATAAAATATATTTTTTCATAAATATGTGCTTTCTGCTTTCACAAAGCCGGCATCCATAATTAGTTTTGTAAAATGGTTGCCTGTAAAGTCGGTTTTACGGGCGAAGATTTTACGTGACAACGTCTTTTTCTCGGTAGAATATTTATTGATATGAATATAATTAAATTGCACAATAGGAACAAGGAATTGAATGAAAATAAGAATTGCACAAATTTTAACTATAGAAATATATTTTGTTTACTAAAACATTGTACATGTAAACTTAAACTTAACACGAGAGACTCATCGTAACGTTACCGAGCGTTACACTTTTTCATAAGTGACTCCCAGCCGCAACCTAATTTAAGACGTTGTCACGTCAAAATTGCTGTTTGTTTTGAATCTTATTCGGTAGTGACGTCGAGTACTGGTCGCGTGATTGGTCGGTAATGCAGTGACGCGGATCTCGCCGTCTCGTTCGCGCTGCCGTGGGATCAGTTTTTGTTTGATGCAAGTATGAGCATACCGTATCTACCCTTTTTGTTTTAATCTAAGGTTGAAACTTGCTGATGATAAATAAATAAAAACAAAATGAAAAAAACTCTCAATGCTACGGAAAGCACGCTGAACCGTTAGCCTTGGCTGCATCTGCAGTCTGTAGCACTTACTAGGACCCACCTAAACTATGTGTCTTTGTGATGGCCCCAATCTCCTTTTTCCATCCTAAGGGAAGCCCTGTGTCCCAGTAGTACGGATATAAAGGGCTCATGATAGTACAATGTCTGCGATGGTTGAACTTAAGCAACTTTCGCAGTTGTCGGTCATTGGATGGGTGACCAAAAATTTACTATCTCAAGCTCCTCCGTGTTTCGGAAGGCACGTTAAGCCGTTGATCCCGGCTGCATCTGCAGTCGTTAGCACCCGCCAATGGCCTGCGTGGTGGGTCATGGCCCAATCTCCCTATTCCATCCATAGGGAAGGTCTGTGCCCCAGCAGTGGGGACATTAATAGGCTGATGATGATGATAGTACAATTCTTTTCAAATCTATCTCAGACTAGCACCTATTAATGCCCCCCCCCCCCCCCCCCCCCCGCTGGGGCACAGGAGTTCGCTATGAATGGAATAGATTGGGTTGTGACCCATCAGGAGTTTCTAGGACAGATAGGTGGATAATGAAGACTACAAATGCAGTCGGTAACAACGGCTTAACGTGCCTTCCGAAGTGCGGAGGAACTTGAGATAGTAAATTTTTGGTCACCCATTCAATGACCGAGCACTGCGAAGGTTGCTTAACTTCAAAGAGCGCAGCCGAACGCGCTAGCCACTTGCGCCATCGAGCTCCTCATCATCAGCGAAATATAGTTTTACTAATTGTAAAGAAAGAAATAATTTTATTTTAGACAACATAATAAAATAAAAAATAAAATAAAACAATTAAATATAGTCTCAAAACGGTCCCAACTCAGCATAGTGCTAATGTTGCCATTAGCGCTGGTCTTCCGTTGGAACCGGTTTGGTGTCGCACGAATGAATAACAACAAGAACAATAAATAACATAAAAAAGAAAATAGAAAACAAAATAAAAACATGCTTGGCTGAATGTATCAAAATATCTCTGCCACAGCCACTTAAAAAGAGAGAAGAGAAAAAAAATATAATAGTTTAATGATTGATATTGATATAAAACCTTGAACCGTGAAGCAGCTGACCCAACGCTTATTATAAAATAGTACATTACGATACGCGTGACCTAAGTTGCCTATTACTGCACGGCGTGAAGTTAGCGCCCGGTGCTAAACGCCGTGCAGTAATAGACAACTTAGGCCACAAGTATCGTATACTATTTTATAGCAAGTGTGACATAAACCCGCCCCGGACGCGGGCAAGAGGGGGGGGGGGGGGGGGGGGTTGCGATTAGTGTTTTGAAAGTAAAATTCATGTATTGCAATCACAAAGAATTGCAATACAGACTGCAAGTCGAACTCTGAAAAGAAAGAATTCCGGTTCAGATTACCATTTTGAAAGTATATTTCAAAAGGAAAAAATCAAATATCATTACAACAAAATAGAATTTCAATGTATCCATGAACGTTTATTCTTTGATTGGCATAACAATATATTAAACAACGGGAATGAGCTTTATTTTTTGTACTCGTATAATTCAAACAAGAATTCCTAACCTATCGCTAATTTGTCATTTGTTTGCTGTGAGTTTTTAAGCTCCAAATGACATTTAAATGTGTTTCCTTTTATTTTTTCTACATGAGTGAAGTTGGTCAATTCATTTACACACCGTGCAGAAATAGGCAACTCAGGTCACGGAAAAGCGTGCGTAAAGTGCGGGTTTAGGTCACACTGTGCTGTAAATCCATTTTTCTCTTTGTCAATCACTACTAACCTATTGTATTCCGGTTTGAGGTGGTGCTGCTAAAACCCATCTTTTGGTGATTGAAAGAGCACAGAGAGTTGTTCTCAAAGTCATGCTAGGTAAACCCAGGAAATATCCGACACGCCAATTATACCAGGAGGCTAATTTACTTACTGTTAGACAGTTATTTATTTACTAGCAAACCAGTGAACCAAATGTTCACCAAAACTTGATTTTTAAAAAAAAATGTATTTAATTAATTGAGAACTTCGGAGATTTTGTGTGGTTTCGTTTGAAATTCGTGATTTCTCGAAAACCGGAAGTGCTACGTTACTCAAATCCGGTTTGTAGTCTTATCAGACTATTCTTAACTTATAACTTAAATATTCTCTTTATCTATCTCTTACGGTTTGGCCGCTGAAACAGCACCACAGACGGACGGACTTGTCTAATAGATAAGACATAAGAGGCGATATCGTACGAAAGTCCCGAATTATAATTCAATATTTGCTCGACGTCAGATGTACTGAAGCGGAGAGCTAGTGGAATGAAAAATGTAGGCTAGGATTTAGGACGCAATGGGTTTATTAACACGATTTTAAACACAAACAATATTTAAGCTGATGACAAGCAAAGACTATGACACACAATAACAATTTTGATAGCAAAAATCATAAAAATGTCAATACTTTAAAAACACTTCAAAAAACCATAAAAACTAAATCTATAAAAGAGGTCGGCAACATGTACTATACTGGGCCGTTCCTTTATTCGCTATGTGCACGACAGTAGCGCCACCTACAATGCGCAACTTTCCGGGATTATGCCAAATAATAACATCAGTTTGTATTTTATTGATTTCTAGTAAATATAGTAAGGTAAAGATAAATAAAAATTATTATATATTGTATAATAATTTAAATAATGTCGGATTTCAATTCGGAATTCAGTACAGTCAATAATAACTCTTGTATTGATGTAATCTGGACTGAAACACTTGGGCATTGGTGCTTGTACGGTGGCTCTATTCGGCCAAAAGATTAAATTAGCAGTTGAACAAGCTAGATTTTGTAAGATCGAATGAAATATACGTGAGATTGTGGTTTTTTTGTACACCAAATAACACACTCAATGCTGAAAATGTCAAGCCAGTTTTCATTTTTATCAAAAAAATCAGAAGTCG